TGGATTTTCCCAATTCTTTAAAGCTGCCTTAGACTTTGTAGCCTTTACCCCAGCCTTCACCTCCCTTGTTCAATATAGATACATATTTTTAAAAGATTTTTATTTATTTATTTGACAGAGATCACAAGTAGGCAGAGAGAGAGACGGGGGAGGAAGCAGGCTCCCCACTGAGAAGGGAGCCCATTGTGGGGCTCCATCCCAGGACCCCGAGATCATGACCAGAGCCAAAGGCAAAGGCTTTATTAACTCACTGAGCCACCCAGGTGCCCCTAGATAAGTATTTTATGTATTTTAGAGTATTTTATGTATTTTAGAGATAGAGAGGGAGAGAGGCGGCAGGGGAGAAGCAGAGGGAAAGGCACAAGCAGGCTTGGCACTGAGCTCCTGCTGAGGGGCTCAATCCCACCACCCTGAGATCATAACCCGAGCAGAAATCAAGAACTGGACGCTCCACCGACTGAGCCCCCGGTGCCCCCCCTTTGTTCCATGTACTGATGACCTCGTACCCTGCAATCAAGACCAGGCAGGTCGACTTAAGACCCCCTTGTCCTCCTCGATGTACTAGCTGAACGAGGCCATCACGCCTCCAGACCTGCCCCTTGGTGGGCACAAACCGCTGTCACCTGCTTCGGCCCCGAGATGTCTCAGAGCGCTCAAAAACTCACCCCCAAATTCTGTCCATCCTTCTCCCCATACCAAAACAGCTGCTTTGTAACTCTCCAGGCGCAGCTCGGGACTGCCACCCCCGGAAGGCTATGTTTGCTGCCCCTGCCAAACCTTTATGTGCCCTCCTCCCAGATGCTACTCACAGCCCATTTACCGGCCCTTGGTGGCAGGGACCGCCTTTGAAACTTGAAAATGAGCCTCGTTCACAGCCCCAGCTCTCAGCCTCCCTGACTGTGACAAACCTTTTCACATAGGCTACTGGGAGGATGGTGGAAGGGCGGCAGGTGCTCTCCCGGGTGTGTCCTGAGCCCACGTCTCGTGTCAGACCCCGTGGCATCAGGCACAGCCCAGGCCTGCCAGCGGCAACCCCGACAAAGCGGGGACTCCACCCCCATCCCAGTAGAGCCCCTGTCGCCTCTATGCTCCCAAGGCAGCGCCTGCCCTCTTTCAAGTTCACAGGACACAATACCCTCCACTTGGCTGGCAGACCACGGGTGACCCACGGCCTCACCATCATCTTCCCGGGCTGGGACCCTGACACCCAGCTCTCTCCTATCCCTCCCGGCTGGGGGTCCCTGTTCCGTCCACACTTGCCAGTGGTACCAAGGGTCTCCGGGACACCACAGGACTTCTTAGCCCTGCGCAGACCCCCTAGACCTGCTTCTATTTCGTGAGGGCTCCTGCAGATGAAACTGGCAGGACAGCAGAGCTGGCCTGGCACAGTCACCCCGCACAGAGGACTGGAAGCAGAGAGCTACTCTCTGACCCTCCCGGCGCTGAGCCCAGAGCTCTCCCTTTAGCTCACACAGTGGAAACAGAGAAAACGGCCACCGTCCACACCAACTCCGGCTGCGTTTTCAGAGTCCGCCATGCTGCTGGCACATGTGGGAATCCCACGGATGCTTGTTTTTTTTTTTGTTTTTTTTTTTTAAGATTTCATTTATTTGAGAGAGCAAGCACAAGGAGGCGGAGGGATAGAGGGAGAGGGAGATGCAGGCTTCCCACTGAGCTGGGGGCCAGGCGCAGGACTCAATCCCAGGACCCCAGGACCATGACCTGAACTGAAGGCAGAGGCTTAACCGACTGAGCCACCCATGTGCCCCAATCCCACAGATTCTTTTTTTTTTTTTAATTTTATTTATTTATTTATTTTTAAATCCCACAGATTCTTAATCTCTGCTGGGACTCCTGTTGCCAGTGGGAATAGTAACACTGCCCTCTTGCAGGCTAGTCCCCTCCCTGCTAAAGCTTCTACTGTGCCCTGGGAAGCCTGGACTGAGGACCCTGAACACTGTATCTCCAGGGAAGGACAGAGTCGATAAGGCGGCTAAACGCACAGTCAGGCAAATGCCGTGAGATCTGAACCAAACGGATGCCAAAGGGTGATGAGCAATTATTGGTCGGATTACGCATTGGCCCCTGTGGCCCTGTTTCTTTTGACCTTCTGGCTTGCACCGACCAGTGGCAGATCCCAGGACCTGTGTGCCAATGACAAACAGCAAAGGAGCTGCAGAGGAGCTGTTCTGCTGTCGCAGCCACATTTCTGATGACATCATTTCCTGGTGCACCTTTTGTGAATTGCACCAAATTCCCAGGGGAGAGCAGCATACGCGGGTAACCCCGCAGGGCCCATGCTGCCCTTTGAGGCGTTCCAAATGGATCCCATAGCTAGACCTCTGGCCTTAGGCTTATCTTACTCCCATCTGCTGGCTGTCTGCACACTTAGCACGCAAACGGGACACTTGCTTTCTTCCAGATTCCCCAAGGGGAGATCTGGGGAAGGAAAGCAGCCGCCCAGACTAGCTCATCACATTATCCTCAGGTGTGCTTTGCAGTTTTCGATCGTGCCCTGCAATCTGGGTGACCTGAACCTGCTCTATCTCACCACACGGCCACTTAGGGATGGGTCCCCCGGCGTCAGCCAGAGCCAACCTTCAGTTGGTTTCTATGCTGGGGGTTTCCCGGCCTGTTTCACAGCGGTAAATCTATAGCCCGGTCAAGCGGGTGGTGGCAAAGTCCTTGAGGAAACATTCCCTCCACCCGGAGCCTAAGCAGAGATGGGCAAGCTTCCTGGGTGTGCCTCGGTGGTATCAATCAGCCTTTTTTTCCACCACAGGCTCTCATGGGAGGTGGATCTCTGTGGGACCAAGTTTTACGTAGGGGTCTCTGCTTCCCTCTGATTAGCCTGGACCAGGGTCTGGCAGCCGTGAAATTCCAAGGCCCTGGGTCTCTGCTACGGACAAATATTGTCAGGGCCCCCCAGTCTGAAGCACTTTCTGCAGTTTGGGCTGAGGAGACTTCCCCTGCTCTCTTCTGAGCTCCACTGCACATTTAGAGGATGTTTATTTTATTTTTAGAGATTTTATTTATTTGAGAGTGAGCGAGCACGAGTGGAGGGGCAGAGGGAGAGGGAGATGCAGGCTCCCTGCTGAACAGGGAACCCTATATGGGACTCGGTCCCAGGACCCTGGGATCATGGCCTGAGCCAAAGGCAGATGCTTAACTGACTGAACCACCCAGGCGTCCTAGTTCATTTCTAAACCAGCATTTCTGGGTATTTTTCCCCGAGGCAGGCACCCTACAGAAGCACAGTCCAACAATCTCCTTCACGAAACATACTCGGTGGCACCATTTTCTGCTTGTTTGATAGAAGCTGAGTTCTCACCTGGTTTAAAAGCCCAGCCTAGGGGCGCCTGGGTGGCTCAGTGGGTTAAAGCCTCTGCCTTTGGTTCAGGTCATGATCCCAGGGTCCTGAGATCGAGCCCCGAATTGGGCTCTCTGTTCAGCAGGCAGCCTACTTCCCTTCCTCTCTCTCTGCCTACTTGTGATCTCTCTGTCAAAAAAAAAAAAAAAAAAAAAAAAAAACCCCGCCCCCTCCTGGCCTCTGCTGGGAACACCACTCCCCCCACCTGCTTGCCACCCCTGCCCTCCTGCTCTCTCCAACAGAACACGGCCACCTTCTTCTGTTAAATAGGTTATGCTCCCTTCTGACTCAGGGGCTTTGCACATGCTGTCCCCCCCCTTCCCCCTCCCTGGAAACTCTTCTCCACTCAATCCAGTTTCACCTGTTTACAGCATCAGGGCTCAGCTCAAACTCACACATCACTTCCTTGGCAAAGCCACGTGTCCTCCCCCCATCTGCCCAGACAAGGTCAGAGAGATCTCGGCTCTGCCCTCACACAACTCTTCAGGGCACCCAACATGGTGCCAGAAAAATCACAGCTCAAGTGTACACTGCAATTATGAAAACTACCCATTTATTTAGGAGACTATTTTATTAATGTCTGTCTCCCCCAGTGGGCTGTAAGCTCTGTGAGGGCCTGGGCTGGCTGCTGGACCCCCCCAGTACCTAGCACAGGACAAGGCGCAGAGCAAATGCTCGGTAACTGTGTGCTGAGTTAACAGAATGTGAGTAAATGCAGAACCCAGGCAAAAAAAACTAGGGGGTCCCGATTTCCCGGCTAAAGCCTTACCTTTAATAGGCCCGGTATGAGAGATCTCCCAGGGCCCCCATTCTCAGAGAAATCTTCAACAAACCTACCCTGCTTAGGTGGGGAGACAAGACAAATATCCATAGCAGTAAGTGTTTTGAGTTTTAATGAGACGGCATAGAGCACCCTTCTTTACTTCTCTATTGGGGGAGGGGGGGGCCTCAGATCTCAGCTTTGGGTTGGGATTACAAAGTGCGGGAGGCAGATAAATGTGAATGGGACTTGGGGGCCAGGGCTGGGGACAGAAGAGAGGGCAGAGAGTCTGCTAACCCCAGACCCTGAGCTGAGCCAGAAATCCAAGTCCCTGTAGCCTCCAGCTGCCAACCTTGGGAACAGACACTGTGTGCATGGTCCTTATCTGCCAATCGGGGTCAGAAAGCACCAAGAAGATCCATCAGGCCCTGAGTGCCTGAAGAGTGCCATTGCCAGCCTGGAGAGTCAAGAGAAGACCCATGTTGCATCTAGAACTTGGGACACAAAATGCCACCTTGGCTAGGAGGGTGGGGACGACATAACAATTTGGTCTAGTGGGAACTGCTGAAGGTGCTCTCTTGGGTCTGGAAAATTGGGAGGACTCCCTTGGGAGTCCTTCTACCTTCTACCTGATGAAGGAAACCATGGGTGGGTGTCGTAAAGCTCAGCATCCGGTACGTAGTATAAGCAGAAGGAGGAAGGCAAAAGACACAAAACTGATCCTAAAGCTACAGCTGGACTCAGGAAAGGGGATGGGGCCCAGGAGAAGAACTAAGCCCAGGGACTGTAAGCGAGGAGACAGCAGAACCAGGACCAGGAGATGGAACATGGGCCAAGGCCCGCCAAGGCCCAGCCGGTGGTGGAGGGCGGGGGTAGGGGGGTTCAAAATTTCAGAGTTGCGGCTAGGACCAGAGGCAGAGCCAAGGGAGTGAAGGAGGATGCACCAGATTCTGGGGCTCCTGCAGGAAGCAAGAACCGGCCCCTGAGCAGAACCCAAAGTCAAGAAAGGCAGAGCACAAAGAAAGGTGAGACCCCACGACGCAGAAAGATCAAGAACTACTGGTTACCAGGGGCTGGAGCCAAGCCTCAGGGACAGGCTTGGAACCAGGGAACAGACAGGGCCAAGGGCTGGGGGTTGGAACCAGATGCTAAAGTCAGGGTAGAACCGCACAATATTACCACTCCCATCCCGTACCCCCCACCACGCGGCATTATCCAGGGGGCGAGGCTTGCCCGGAGGGTGACAGCAAGATGCGCAGGGGAGCTACACATGGTACAGGACCAGGTCCCAGAGGCCTTGAGGACTACCCCCAGGGCGCAGTGTCAGGCGGGTAGTGGCTTCCTGCTAGGCCCTCTGTCCCGGGTCTTGCTCAGGTTCGGTCCCCGGAACGCCGCGGATGTCGGGCAGCAGGCGGCAGCCGGCCACGATGTCCAGCCGCTCGGCCAGCGCGCAGAGGTCTCCCCGAGCCAGGCGCACGCTGTGGGCCGCAGCCAACCCTGCCGCCTGGGCGGCCGCGAGCCTACTGGCCAGGGCGGCCACGTCGCGACCAGCGCGACGGTACACGCCGCTCACCGCGGCCGCCACGTCGTGATCCAGCCGCGCCTGGCTCTCGGCCAGCCGAAGCTGCAGCAGCGAACGCGCAGGGGCCGGCGCTGGGGTCTCCTCCGCGCCCCAAGCCTCCCCGGCCGTATCCCGCTGCACCACCAGCGCAGGCAGGTCCCCCGGCGCGGCGGTCGGCTCCGGCTCCGAGTCCGAGTCGGTTTCCGCGGCTTCCCCGGCCACCCGCAGTCCCGTGGGGCGGCCGCGCGTCGGGCCCAAGGGGCCCAGGTACAGCTCCTCCTCCGACGAGGACGCAGAGAGCTCCGAGTCCGTCTCGGCCGCCTCCCCGGGCACCACCGTCTCGGGCCTCCGCGGCGGCCTTCGCCGACGACCCTGGGACGCCATGGCGCCGAACTAGGGAGAAGAGGGGCGAAGGGACCGCATGAGAGGCGTCTGGCGGTGGTTAAAAGGCGCAGGTTCCGGATTCCCAACCCCTTCACTGACTGGCCGAGCGCTTTGGGGCCATCTGCGTTCCCTGCCTGGGCCCCAGCTTCCTCTTCTGCAAACGGGCTCATCATCCCCGCTGCCAAACATAATGGACCCGCCACCCTTTCTGTGCACTGACGGGGAAACTGAGGACCAGAAAGATGCAGGCTCCGAGGCCGGAGCTCCCAGAAGCCCAACCCCATCTCTTTCCGATTCTGCCTCCCAGCAGAGGCCGCACCCTCCACACCGTCCTCCGAGCGCGGGTCAGATCCGGAAGCACACGGGCTCCCCAGCTGCTCAGGGACCAGCGCCAGGGTCATAGGAAGGGTGACAGCCCCGCTGGACTCCGGGGAGGGTGCACGAGCGGGGGCGCGGGGGCGCGGTATGACCGAACACCTTACCTGGTTACCGAAGCTCCGAGCCTGCAGGATCCGCAGCGTAGCCGAAGCGCGCTGTCTCTACCGAAGTAGGAGCGGGCACGGCGGCCAAACACGTGAGCCGCTCCAGGAAAGCAAGCCCCCAAAACCAGCTGTGTGGTTGGGGGGGAAGGGGGGGGTAGTGAAGAGTCACGTGAGTATAGGTAGGACCAATAGGAAAGCATCTGGGCGGGTGCTTCCGGATTCTGCTGCTCGGCGAGTGGACGAATAGAAATTTTGAAAAGCGAGCGATTCGGCCAATGGAAACGCTCGGCAACCCGGAAATAGACGGGAGACGAAGGAGAAGGGCGGAGATGCTGTCACGTGTGGCCAATGAAAAGAGGCCCTCCTTCTAAGCCTCCAGGCTTCACGCGCGCACCATGTGAGCTCGGTAGGCGGGGCTAGCTTGAAGCACCAATGGAGGCGGGGGCGGGCGGGCTCGCACCTGGTGCAGGAGGCGGGGCTTGCCCAGCCAGGCCAATGAGAGCGCGAAGCGCTGGACGGTCGTTGGGCGCGAGGCTGGCGCATGGCGGACGCGGCGCTGTTCGAGTTTCTGCATACCGAGATGGTGGCGGAGCTGTGCGCGCACCACTCCGACCCTGGCCCTGGGGTGAGCGCCGGGCCCCGGGGGGATGGAGAAGCGGGCCGCGGCGGAAAGGGCGGATCGAGGCCCTGGGGAGCGCCGAGGGGGGGTCAACGACCCGGGTCGAGCCCCGCCCCCGCCTCCGCCTCGCTGGGCGCAGGCTCGCTCCTCCGTGAAGTGAGCGAGGCAGCTCCGGCTAAAGCTTACCTCAAGGCCTAGCACAGAGTCAGCAGGCAGTAATTATGATAATGACTACTGTTGGACGTGTACCAAAGACTTACTGCCTGGGTTGAATCCCGCCTGCTCCACTAACTAGGTGTGGGAGCCAGTGACTCAATCCCCTGCGTGCCTCAGTTTCCTCATTATTAAATGGGCATTATAACAGCACCTCAGCCTGAGAGAGGGACATGTACTCTTCCAACAAACACTTATTAGGCGCCTATTGTATTCCAGGCACTGTTTCCCTGTCCTTGCGAAACTTATAGGAGAGTCAAACAAAAATACGCCACTACCTAGTGAGAAGTTCCCTAGAGAAAACTTGCATAGAGGAGCGCCTGGGTAGTTCAATCCATCTCGCCTCTGCCTTTGGCTCAGGTCATGATCCCAGGGTCCTGGAGTCAATTCCCACTTTGGGCTCCCTGCTCAGCGGGCAGCCTACTTCCCCCTCTGCCGCTCCTGGGTATGCTTGTGCTCTCTGCTTGTGCTCTCTCACTCACTCTCTTTCAAGTAAATAAATAAAATCTAAAAAAAAAAAAAAAAACTTAAAAAAAACTTTTCATAGAGTCATGAAAAGAATAGGGATGGTGGAGGAAAGCCTTCCAAGGAACAGACTGTAGGAAGTTAGCCCTGTGGTTAAGGCAGGGTGGGGGTGAGTGGAGCACATTCCAGAAAGAAAGGAACAAGAGGTGCAAAGCCGGGAGGTAGTAGCGTGCTTGGCATTTTGGAAGTTGGTTCTTCTGTGGAATAAAATGACTCAAACTTTAAGGCCCTTAGGGTGATGTCAAAGAACCTGGGAGCTCCTGTTACAAAATCTGTTACCAAAAAGAAAGGGTGGGGGAGAGAGTAAGGTGCTTGAGAAGTGATTGCTGTGATCAGTTTTATTTTCGTTATTATTCTTAGCATGATCATCGTCATCCATATGCAGGACATTTTACCTCGCTTAGGTTTTCTGGTTTAGGAGCCCCAAGGAGGGTGTTGGTTCTCAACAGTTTCCAGTTCATTCATTCCTTCCGCACACTTCATCTCTAACCTACCAAGTGTCAGGCCCTGTGGTAGGCTCTGGGAATTCCTCAGTGACACCTACAAAACTCCCGGCCCTCCTGGGGTTGCGGGGGGTGGGGTGGCACTAAGATAAATGAATAAAGTCTAGTATGTTGAGGAAATGCCATGAGAAAGATAGAGCATGGGATAGGGAGTGCCCATTGGCCTGTGTGTTGGGGGGGTGCTGGTTTGCAGTGTTGAGGTACCCCATCCAGCCTGGTTTTTAAGCCAGAAATTCCGGTATCCCCGACATCAGCCTTTTCTCTCTCACCAGCAGCCCCCAAGCGGGCCCTGCCCATTCTCTTAAAACGTGTGTGCCACTTCTCCCCACCCCTGCCCTGGAGTCCAGGCCTCTCTTTGCCCCTGTACCAGCCTCCTCCCTCCTCCCTCAGCTCATTTCACCTGCTGTATCTTCACTGCATTCACATGGATTAATCCTTTGGACCTTGGCTCAAAGCCTTCCTTGGGGAAGCCTTCCCGGAGGCCCCAGCTCAAATCAGGTGTCCTTGGGACGTTCTTACAGCCCCTTCCCATGTGTCCTTGGCAGCCCTATCATGCCCAAGTATGTATCTAAATTATGGGTCCACATGAGCCTTCGATTCACATCCGTCCTCCCCCCACCATCCAGACCGTGCACCGTGTAGGCTCGGACAAGGTCTGCATTGATCACCACACAGTAGGTCTTGTGCACACAGTAGGTCCTCAGCATGGGTTTGTTGAAGTGGACGCAGCCCCCTTCAGTGGAAAGCTTGGGGTGGGGTTTGTGACGATAAGAGTGCCTACCACAAATGAATGTTTCCTGTGCACGCTCCTGGGCTTCCCACTCCCGATTTTCATTTGATCTTCCTCCTAACCCACAGAGGTCAGCACAATCCTCCCCGCTTTGTAGGCTTCAAAGCTTGAGAAACCGAGGCTTTGATGGACAGGAGTGCTGGCTCTCAAGTGGCAGAGTCAGGAATGCAACCAGGCCTCCCACCTCCAAAGCCCGCGCTGTAAACTTGGGCCCCTTCCCTGGCACTCTCCGGGAGCATTTTAATGGGTTTCTGTTGTCAAGCAAGTGTGGGAAGTGCCACGTTACTCAGCCGTGCTCACCATGGGCTTTCAAAGCATACAAACGGGCCCAGGACCCAGCTGCCCCTGGGAGTCCCATGCTGGGGTCCTGCCCCAGAGCTCCCCAGTGCTTCCGGGGTGCAGCCAGGGGCGAGGTCCGCAGCAGCTCCCCCCACGTGCCTGCCACCTGGGAGCCCCATTTTCAGGGCCATATCAGGAGCACTGCTGTTCAGAGCACCCGGGTGGCCCATTCGGTTGAGTATCTGCCTTCAGCTTAGGTCATGGTCATGATCCCAAGGTCCTGGGATCGAGCCCCGCATCAGGCTCTCTGCTCAGCAGGGAGCCTGGTTCCTCCTCTCTCTCCCTGCCTCTCTGCCTACTTGTGATCTCTGTCTGTCAAATAAATAAATAAAATCTTTTTTAAAAAAGAGAGAGAGAGAGAACTGCTGTTTGCTTAGCCCTGTCTCTTCCACTCCTGGTCCCTCCTCTCTCTTCCTTTTTCTGTTCCTTCTCTTTGGTCCAACAGGTCTCCTGTCTGAACCGAATGCAGGCCTCCTATTGGGTACTTCTGGTGTCCCCAGCACCGTATTCTGTTGGATTTAGTCCTCTGAATGGACTTGCAAGGTAGACACTACTGTCCCATTTTACAGAGGGTGTCCTTCCCTGCAGGGGTGGGGGGCAGGGGCGAGAATCCGAGGGGAACATCAGGATGCAGGCTTCGGGCTCTGAAGCTTGCCTGTGGCTTCTTGTCTACCCCCCCACACACTAGCTGCCAAGTTCCTTGAGCACAGGCATGGTGGCTCGTTCCTCTGTCCCCAGAGCACACATGACCAGGAGTCTTGGAGATTTCCATGTCCTGCCTGGTGGTCATCTGTGGCTGCTGAAAGGATTTTTCTGGACGGTTACAGGTGGAGGGCAAGACTAGCCAGAGGAGTCAGGAGGTCAAAGGGACTCTGTTATCTCAGCAGGAAAACCCCAGGGAGGAGCGGGCAGTGGTTTCTCCACCTCAGCAGCTTTAAAGATAAGGAAACCCGAGGAGTTCATTCCTCCGCAGAGCCGAGAGTGTCAGTCAGCTATGACCGGGAGCTCTGGCAGGCAGCCCGGGAACAGACCTGCTGGGGCCGGACCTTCCCCGACCCAAGCCCAGCTGGTGCCTCTGCCAGCCTGGGCAGCTGTCAGGTGCAGCCCCCAGCCTCATCAAGAGCCAGAGGAACCCCCCGTCCCAGTTCCTGGCAGAGTGGATCCCCAGGACAGAGCCCTGGAGAGGACGCCATGCACTTGAGGCCAGGGAGCCATGGGAGCTCGGGCTCTGTCCCTAGAGGAGCCATGGAAGGTTTAAGCTGAGGGCCGCGGGGTGCAAACCTACTTTCCAGAACGGCCTCCCAGGCCATGCGAATGAGCCTGAAGGGACATGTGGCAGGCAGGCTGCGGCAGGGGCCCGGGGCCCAGGCAGGTGCTCAGCCTGGGGTGGGAGGAATCAAGTCTGGGGGTGCTTTGGTAGTGTTGGGGAGGAAGGCAAGACCTGGGGGTGTCTGGGACCACCTGGGTGGATGCAGGAGGTGAGTCCAGGCCCACAGGGTGGGCGGCATGCTCATTCTTACTCGTTCACTCTCCACGCTTCTGGGGCCATGCGCCTGGGGAAATGAGGACGTCCCCTCTCCCCATGCTCCTCTTAAGGCAGGAGCCCAGGCAGCTCGTCCCACAGGCCCCCCAGCTGGGCCTGCACAGACCGCTGAGGGCCAGGGCAGTGGAAGAGACCGGAAGGAGCCTGGCACGCCGCCCCCCCCAGTACTGGATGCTCTTTGCAAGTCCAGGGCTCGGTTTGCTTGTTTCCCTGTCGTTGTTGTCATCGTCCTCCTCCTCCTCCTCCTCCTCCTCCTCCTCCTCCTCCTCCTCAGGGCTTGGGCCTCCCTACAGGGAGCACCCTCTTCTCTTACTGTCTCTGTGATCCTTCTTCCACACGATTCCAACGCATCTTCTTGGCCCTCGGATGAGCATTGGACGGCCTGGGTCCCTTCCATAGGACTTAGAACTTCTGTGCCAGTGTGACAGCCTGGGAGGCCTCATCCCCCTTACAGATGTGTCTGTCCACTCCCTTTGTTATTTTCACTACTGTACATCCCATTTCCCAGGGCTGCCCCTGTGGCTGCCGGTTCCTCCCAGCTGGGGGGCCACTAGGAGGGCCTTCTGGAAGCGGCTTCCCTCTGTTCCTACATCTCGTTTCCTTTCAGTGGGCTGTTGTGCAAACTCATTTGATGTTGGGAGGGAGGGTGGTGGGAGCCCAGAACCGCTCTGGCTCTGGCTCTGGCTCTGGGCCGGGCAGGGAGGAGGAGAGTCCCGCCCAGGCTTCGTGAGAATGATAAGCCTCTAATCCCTGAAGAGCTTTTGTAGGGACTGGGGGAGGCAGGCGGGGATAGAGCCTTGGGGCTTCCCCTCCCTTCCTCCTCCACCCTTTCCCCTGTCACCTGCTCATCCTCCGCCCCTCCCTTTTCTTCTGTTCGTCCCCATTGCCTGGATCTTTCCAGTTCAGCACCTACTGCCCTGGCCTCTCACGTGGCTGGAGTCCGGCAGTGCCACGACTGTTGCCCAGTGTGGGTCACGCCACCTTTGTGAGGTAGGGCCTGCCATCAGACCCATTTCACACATGGGGAAACTGAGGCCCGGGGCCATGAGATAGCTTGCCCAAGGTCAGTAAGCAGCGGAGCCGGCCCTTGAACCCAGGCAGTCTGAAGTTCACCGAAAGGAAACCTTTCCAGACCGCCCCCCACCCCTGGAGTGCCCTGGCCCGGCTGAGGACCCTGCTGAGTCCTGGGCTGTCTGCTGAGGGCTGCTGTCCTGGCTGCGACCCAGGCTTGCGGTGCCACCCCACCCCCTTCCCGCTTTGCCTGCCCCCCACCCCAGGAGCATTCAGACAGGGGCTTTTCTCCTGGCGATGTCCCCACCTGGGCTGAAGCCACTAACACCATTAGTTCCCACGTGGTTGGGGCAGAATGGTGTGCCCTCTCCCACAGCGCCCCCCCCCAGCCTGGTCTGCAACGCCCCCACCCCCATCCCCATCCGTCAACGCTGTCTCCCACCCTCAAGGCCAGAGCGGCGCCCCCACCCTTCTCCCTGCCTCCTTGCCTTGGTACACAGCCTCTGCTGGGAGTTCCCTCCCCTTCCCTGCCCCTTCCTCTGAGAGGCACCCCAGGGACCCCCTCCTGGGGGAGCTGGCTCTGTCCCACTCTGCACTGCCCTATTCCCATCACCTGGGCACCTGTCACCCCCCCCACACCTCAGGCACAGTGGCCAGCCCCCAGGGGCCACCAGGAAATGTCTGTGGAATGAATGAGAGTCTCCACGTGCCAGGCAGTCCTCAAGGACGCAGATGTGCTTGGTCAGAGAGGAGGCGGGCCCTGCCTCTTTGAGGCGCTCACCTCCAGAAGGGAGGGGACACGGGAGTGCGGCCACCCTGCCACCTGGCAGAGAAGGCTAGCTGAGGGCGTGGCAGGCAGCATTCGGGGTGCTGAATAAGTCAGCCCACGGGACAGAGCCCCTCCTTCCTGGGGCTTTCCTCCCGCCCCAGGCTCGTCACCGAGATTGACAGATGCAGAGGCGGTGAGTGACAGGGACAGAAACATTTGCTGAGCCCAGCTGGGAGCACTTGGCCCACATTTAATGCTCACGAGGACACTGGGAGGGAGGCAGCATGGCTAACACTGTCCTCTCTGTCCCAGGGAGGAGGCGGGGGCACAGGGCCCATGTCCCCCTCACTATCTCTCATGCCAGAGGCGTGCCAGCAAGGGACCAGAGGGCTGGCAGGAAGCCAGCAGGAAGCTGTGTCCTCACCAGGTCCAGTCCCCACAGGAGGAGCACGGAATGGCGGGCAAGGGCCTAGGAGCTGGGAAGCCTGGCCGAGAAGAGGGCCACCTTGCTCGAGGACACAGGCAACCTCTGCTTGGGCCTCCGTACTCCCAGCACTTCCTCCCGAGGTGGGCCACAGCCCTGGCCTCCAGCCAGGGGTGTCATCCTGGCCACCCCCTGGCCCCTGCCCATCTAGGTTTGGGAGCCAGCCCTGCCTGGGTTTAAAAGGTGCAAGGTAGTCTCAGGTGCCTGTCACCAAGCTCCTCCAAGCCCAGGTTTCCAGGTGTGAACTATGACCTCCCTTACAGTGTGGTTCAGATTAAGCCAGAAGTTTGTACAAAGCAGCTGGTGTCGGTGCATGCTCAAATCCCCACTTGTCACTTTGTTGGGCTGCTGAGTGGCCCCTGCATGCCGAGGCCATCACTGACGGTGGACGGCCAGCCTCCCCCTCCACAGACGGCCCAGGATGGGGACAGGGGACCTAACCTGGGCCAGAGGAGGGGAGAAGGGCAGCCTCCGGGTGTTGGGAGAGGGCCCCGTGAGTGAGCGGAGAGGTACCTCTCTTGGACTAAGGGAGGCTGTCCCTGGGGGCAGGGCAGAGGGCAGCAGAGGGACAGCTGGGTCCTGGAAGGCCCTCGAGGCCTGCTGAGGAGGCCAGGACAGCGTCTCAGAGCTGGATCTAGCCGGACAGATCCTGTCCACCACTGGTATGGCTGTGCTAATGGCATGTCTGACCCAGAAGGGCTCAGGCCTGGGGACTGCCGCGCCCCCCCCCCCCAGGCTCTGCTGGAGTCTCTTTGAGGAGCAGGAGGCTTCCCTCCCTGTGCTGTCCTAGTGGTTCTGATGCCTCCCCGCTCCGTCCTCTTCAGGACACGCAGAGGAAATAAACACACGACTACTCTCCTTGGGGCTTGCCATCAGCCCTCACGGGTGCCCGGACACCACCTACAGCCCGCCTGCTGTCCCCTCCTCCTGTGGGCCCCTGGCCTGCCTTCCCTGAGCACCGAGGGCGCATCTCCTGGCCCGAGCCCTGTGGGGCCCTCCCAGGGTTCCTGGCTGATGTGTTCAGGCATGACAATCACAATCAATTTTGAGAGCTTCCTGCTGGCCGGGCCAGGGGGGCTGTGCCCCCCCCATGGCTCCTTGCGGCCATACAGGCCCTTCAGCGAGTCACCTGGAGCCCCGGCCCAGGGTGACTGGTGGGCCGCCTACCCACAGGATGCTGTGAGGACTGGAGATGCTCTGATAAGTGGCAGGTGTTCTCAGTGACAAGCATGCTGAGGCTGTGACTGGGAACACCCCCATTTTTCCTGAGGCAAGGGGGCACTGGTCTCTAGAGCTAATGGCATCTGCGGGGGCATTTTGAGGGACTGAAGGCATCCGAAGGCCTGGACCTGCCCTGGAAGGCGCTCCCTCCTGGCTCTCCTCAGCCCCGAGCGGGCAGGGGTGGGCACACTGGTCTTAGAGGACCCTCTGCGGCTGCTATCCCGGGTGGCTCCCGGGTGGAGGTGGCCACGGGCCCCTGAGCCTCTCTTCCCTGAACTTTTAGGGACAGAAGATGAGCCTGTGTGTCCTGGAGGGCATGGGCTTCCGTGTGGGCCAGGCCCTGGGAGAAAGGTGAGAGCCGGCGCCTGCTGCCCTTGGCCAGAGGCAGGCAGGAGCTGAGGTCGAGTCCCTTCCTGGGCCTGGGTGGTGAGGGTGGTGTTGCTCCAGAGGGGACCCCTGCTGGGCTTCCTCCCTCTTCCTCACCCTGGGCTCACCATCCCGGCCCCTCCTGGCCCCACAGCATCGGCCAGGCCCAAGCAGCTGCCCCTGCCCCCCAGGCTGCCCCAGGAGACGCTGGCCTTCAGGGAGGAGCTGGACGTCCTCAAGTTCCTGTGCAAAGACCTGTGGGTGGCCGTGTTCCAAAAGCAGATGGACAGCCTCCGTACCAATCACCAGGTGTGCTGCGTGCGCCCGGGCCCAGCTTCTCGACTGCTGGTGGAACCTGACACCGAGAGGAGGCAGGAGGAGAGCCCCCCCGAGGGAGGGCGCAACAGGCCGGCTGTCCCTGGCGGGTGGTGGGGGGGGGGGGAGTGGGAGTGGCAGGCTGCCCTGAGCCCATTGGCAAGAGCCAGGTTTCCTGATTGGCAATACCACCCCTCTCGGGACCTCTGCCCAGTCTTCTGAGGGAACCCAGGAGGCTGCAATGTGGGGGGTGGGGGTGGTCACAGCTGTTTCTAGAATGTCCACAAGCCTCCCAGGAGGGGCAGCAAGTAGGCTCCCCCATGGTCGGCAGCATCTCTCCAGGCACGACAGTGGGTCTCAAGCTGGTCCGAGTCCCCCTCTAGGTGCCCGTGCTGTGCCAGGCCCGGCCTACAGATTCTCCCCGAAGCCCCAGCCCCGGGAGGAAGGTCCTGGTCTGCTGTTTCCTCCGGAATTCAGGCTGCTAGAGGGCAAGACCCACACACCCCATGGGGGGATCCCTGGCCCAGCTCAGGAAGCCCCTGGGCCCTTCTGGAGCTTGGAAGGATGAGGCCCATGATGATGGGTTCGGAGGCCCGGGTCCTTCTAGACCGCAGCCCCACGGGGCAAGGGGCTCTGGGTCCTGACCTTCTGTCCCCCAGTACAAATGCACAGGCAACCCCAACCCTCACTGGGTTCTTCTCTGTCCCCAGGGGACCTACGTCCTACAGGATAACAGCTTCCCCCTCCTCATCCGGATGGCCTCGGGCCTGCAGTATCTGGAGGAAGCACCCAAGGTATGGAAGGCACTTGGACTTGACCTCCCCCATTTCCTCAGCACCCCTCCCCCGTGAAGGTGGGCCTCTCCCCAGGCCGAGGGGCTGGCCCATGGCCCAGGACCCCAGGGAGGAGCTGCCCCCACCGTGGAGCCCCGGCCTGGGTGTTGGCCTCCCCGCTTCCCTGGGTAACGTGTCTCCCCAACCCCATCCCCAGTTCTTGACCTTCACCTGCGGCCTTCTGCGAGGCACCCTCAGCACCCTGGGCATCAAGAGCCTGGTCACTGCCTCCGTGGCATCCCTGCCCACCTGTGAGTCATCGGGGAGGGGACCTCCCTGTCCTTCCGGTGAAGTGGGGCTCTGGAACTTTCCTCTCCCTGCTCCCCCGGCTCTGGGAGGCGGGGCCAGGCTGCTGAGAGCTTAAGTCAGCCCATCTGCACCCTTGGCCCTGTGATGCCCCCTCTGCACCCCCAGCCTACTTCCCTAGGTGTAGCAGCCCTGGAGCAGAGAACCTCCAAAGGATGAAAAGCTGGTCTAGTGGTTGTGAACGTTATTCTGGGTGGACATGACGGAAGTCAGCCTGCTTGATGCTCGCTGGGGGTCCCTAAAGGGCAGCCAGGGCCCGTGGATTGCAGCCGGCCTGGCGGGGTGTCCTCCTGACTGCCAGGGGCCTCCATCGGACTAGCTGAAGCTTCATACCTCCCTCGGACCATCCTGCCCTCTGCTCTTCCCCACACACACACCCCCGCCCTGAGGTGTCTGTTCCTCTGCTGGTCCCCCTGGCCAACTCAGGGCGGGGGACCTGAGGCCAAGTGGGCAGGACCTGAGCAGCACTGTGCCCCGGAAGCCGGGCTCCTCCCCAGCAGCCTGCATGCTTGACCTTCCTGCTTCTCGTCACCCACACGGTGATAGGATGTGGGCCAGGTGGGCGGGGAGCAGCAACCCCTTGGACCACCCTGAGGTCCAGCCCAAGGCCACCCAGTCTGCTGGTGCGGGGCCGGGAGGCGCAGCTCTGAGCCGCTCTGAGCCGTACTCCCTGCCTCGTCCCCCACATCCCAGCCTCGAGCTGAAGCCCGCCCTTCTCTTCCAGGTAAGTTCCAGGTGGTGATCCAGAAAACCTGAGGAGCGCCCCCACCTGCAGCCCACCCCGCTGAGCCTCACAGCCCCCGCTGGCCCCGGGGACCTCAGAGCCCCACCTTTGGGGGTGCTGGGGGCCTCTGGCTCTAGGGGTGATGGGACAAGTGGGAGGGGGGATGGTGCAGGGGGCCAACCGCTCTAGGGTATCACATGTGCTCCCCAGGCGGGTATCACAGAGAGGTCGGGGTGTCCTGGGAACGAGGTGGCCCAAATTTGGGGCCAGTGTGAAGGGATCCCTACGTTGGGCCCCTTGCTCTGCATGGTAGCTGTCCAATAAAGGTTCTGTGTGTGGAACCAGATGTGAAGTGAAGGTGGGGGGGCCACCCTGAGTGCTGCGGGGGAGGGGCATCTGTGAAGTGACTTTCACAGGTCCTGCAGGGGTTGCGGGGGCAGAGCCCCCCGCGTGGCTCCCCAACCCCTTATTCCTGTCCCTTGCAGGCCCCTTGCTCTTAGGTCTGCCTAAGCCCTGGTGCTCCACCTCCTGCCCTGCACCACTGGTGGGGGAGGGTGGCCCCAGCAGCCCTGCCAGCCTCAACAAGTCTGGGGCCGTCCTGGCCCTCTCCCTGGGGAGCGGGGCTGAGGCCACCCAGAGCTTGGGCAGGGGCAGGCCTGGGGCTACCAGAACCAACAGAGAGGGGGACATGGGCCAGACACCCTGGGAGAAAGAATCTCCTTGCTTAAAACCCCACCGGTGGGTGCGGGCTCCCCATACCTCTAGAGTCCTGTGAAGACAGCCCATCTGGCCCCAGCCCAGAAAGCTGCACCCCACATTTGCTGCCCTCCCCCCAGTCCCCAGACTCCTGCCCCCTCGGAGGCACCCAGTTACCCCCCTCGACCTCTGCTGACCACCACCCCTCTCTGTCTGCGCCCACAGCCCCCGAGGGGGGTCCCCTTAGACAGCTTCTTCCTGCCCTGTGTGTTTCCTTAGGTTCCAACGCACTTCTTGGGTCCCTCCGGGTCTCTCTGCCCAGTACAGAGCCTGGCAGACGTTTCCCCGATGAACTGGTCATTCGGCTAAACTGTGGGCAGGTGGATGGGGGCGCAGAGGGTCGGCCCTATCCTGCCCTCAGGAAGCTCTGGGCTCGTCCTGGAGGTTCCCCCACACACTCAGCCCTCACTCAGACATACTAGTCCTGCGCCCCGCTTGGCGGGACTGCTGCGGGGTGGGAGGGGGTGGGCAGAGTTCCCAGCTGGGGGAGGGCAGGGAGGAAGCCTTCCCAGGTGAAGCAGCTTGAAGACCTGGGGAGGAGAGACGGGACTGGCCCCCAGCAGACGGAAGGATGCTTGGCTCTGGCTGCAGGAGCCAGGGTCTGGTCACCCAGACCCCTAGAGGGACATCTGCTGGCCCCAATGGGGTCCCTTTTCTCTTGTCCCGGGCGCTCTTTGGTGGTAGCCTGTCCCATCCCCACCAGCTCACCCAGCTTCCCTGGCAGTGACTGTTTGCCCCATCATGCCAGCAACTAAAGGGACACGGGTCTGGAGAGCAGACCCCACACCCCACGCACAATGGAAAGACCCTCTTACTTAGCCCTGCCCCTGCTCTCAGTGCTCTGAGAACAATCTGCGAGGTATCCAGGGCCTCACGCGCCCGCTGCACAAACCCCAGCTTCCAGGACGCCCGCTGTGCCTCCACGGGACTGAGACAAGGAACTTCAGCTCTTGGGAACCTCAGTTTCCTCATCTGTAATGGGGCATCACAGCCACCCTGCCGGGTTGTGGTGAGGAAGAGGGGCTAACTAGGGGGCAGGTGCATAAACCATGTGCAGTCCCTGGTAAGCCTTCACCCGCATGCCAGCGTCCTCCTAGGAGAAGCATCTAGAGCCGCCCGGTAAATGGGTCAGTCCGTGCCAGCACACATTAGATGCGGGCGTTCCTAAGTGCCTGGCGCTGTGCTCAGCGGACTCCTCCTGACAACTACGGGACAGTGGTTGTCCCTGGTCCACTCAGCAATGAGGAAGCCGGGGCTCAGAGAGGTGAAGTCACTTGCTTGAAGTCACACAGCTGGGCCCTGGAGGAACTGGCATTCGAACCCAGGATTGTTTTCCTCTCTCAGCCCTGGACTCTTAATCCCTGTGCTGGCTTCCCCCCACCCCCCGCCCCGCCACTGCCCCGAAGTCCCGTGGCCCCGGGGGTGGAGTCTGAGGACACACACCCCCTGCCGGCTGGCCACCTCCCTCCCTTACCTGTGGTACCATGCCCGGGGAGGCAGCCCCCAGTCCTCAAGAGCTGAGTGCGAGCAGGCAGGGCGGACGCTCCAGGGACGATGGGGACGGGGCGGGGACAGGGCGGGCAAACCGGTCGGGCAGCTGGCACCGGCGGGGCCTCTCTCCAGTGGGGCCTGTGCCGGTGAGGCTGGCGCAGCAGCTGGGCAGGGCCGGCGGGGAGCTGGGGCCGAGAGGCTGCCATCAGGTAGGTCCGGGGGACCCCGGGCGAGGGGTGGGCGGGCAGGGGGCCCCAACCCTCACTGAGCCCCAACTCCCCACCTTTTCTCTGCCCCTCAGCGTCGCTTGCCTCCCCCCACCAGCATTCTTCTCTCGCTTCTGCTTTCGACTCTTCACAGTTTCAGCCCGTGCGCCCTGTCTCGCCCTGAGTCTGCTAAGGCTCTACCCCATGTGTCCCATCCTGATTGAATGTGTTCCCCCGGAATTCCCCTCCCCGCTCCCGCCCTCCTTCAGGCCCTAGATGCACCAGCCCCGAAATTTCAGTCACTCGGTGGCGATGGTGGGGGCTCGGGCGCTGGTTACGCGTCCTGTCCTGTGGCGCCAGCCCACACCTCCCACAGCGCACCCCCCAATACCTAGTGGTCCCCTAAGTTTACTCCACCACCCCTGGGCTCCCTGTGTTTCCCCACATCTGCTTGGCACCTCCGTTGTCCAGGCCTCTTGGAAACTCCCAGGGGCTCTCAAACACCCAATCACCAACCTGGGTTAGCCCCCAGCACCCCCATAACCCTTCTCCGTTCTCCCCCATCTAGCTGCGCTGGGGGTCCTGGCCACTCACTTTTACTCTGAAGAGCACCGCCACCCCACCTGGTGACCCAGGACCCCAACATCAGGGACGGGGTCTCTCACCTGTCCCAGGTTACATCCCGGGGGTGGGCTCTATCCGGTCAGCACCCGTGCGGGGCACTGAGTCCATCCTCGCCCTCCTCTGGAGCAGGTCCCCGCCGCCGCCGCCATGCACAAACACTACACCGTCCGCTTCGCCAAGGGCGCCCTGCCCCTTCGGACCCCCACTGAGGGCTACTTCTTGGACCCAGAGTTGGGGCAGCAAAAAGGTAGGGTTTCAGTCCTGGCAGGGAGCGTGGCCTGTGAGTGGGGGGCTGCTGAGGGGATGGTCGAGCAGAAGGGGAACCTCAGGCCCCAGTCGAGAGGAGCTCCCGGCACTCCCCAAATAAAGGGGTCGTGGTGGGGGGCGTGCAGGCCCCAGGGAGCCCGCACGTGTGAGCCCAGATGGGAATGTCAGCAGGGGGCCCACCCAGCCTAGCCTCCCCGCCGCCACATGGGTAAGATGCCCCTACCCCACATCGCCAGGCCTGTGAGGACTTCACCCCAACCTGGGGGGAGCGGTGTGGAGAGAGAGCAAGCTCCCCCAACCACTGAGTGTGTATGAGTGGGGGGACAGTTTCCAGGGGGTGGTGACCACAGGTGCTCCTACTGGGAGGGTGAGGGGTGCGGACAGTTACCTCCCATGGGGCCAGTTCAGCCTCTTGAGGTCCCCGCCTCCCAGGGAAGCCCCTCCTTCCCACCAGCCTTGCCCAGTTCTGGGTACGAGGCCCGCCCCCTTCCGTCCACCCGCCGCCCCGTCCCCTCTTCATGGCCACCTCCCATCACCCCAGACTCCTCTGGACCTACCAGGCCGGTTCCCGATTGGTTCCTTTCTGTCCCCCCAACTGGAGGAACACCCCCCTCAAGGACTCCAAGGCATTTTTCCCACTCCAGCCCCTCACCTGGCTAAGCCCAGGCCTCTGCCCCTCTCCTCTGCAGCCCCAACAGGAGAGCACAGAGACTGCCCCCCAACCCATATCTCCTTATTTTCTCTGATTTCTCCGGGGCCTCTGTGGAGGGACCAGCCCCAGCCTCCCCTTGAAGCCTAGGACCTGGTTCCTGCCAGTGCCCCCCAGGGGTCAGGGACCCAGGCCCAGTCACCCCCACTTCCTTCCTTCCAGGATGCTGTCACCAGTGGTGCCATGACCCAGCGGCCCTTCGCGCCCACGGGCCCTGTCGGCTGCCCCCACAGGTGTGCTGGCAGCTGGCCTACCACAGCCACCGGGGGGGTGTCAGCGGCTGCCGCCAGGGCCCCCAGCCCCCCAGCCTGCAGCAACAGCGGCAGCCCCAGCCCCCGCCTCCCAGCCCCCTGCGGCAGCGGCTCTGCTCCGGTCCAGGGGCCCGGAAGGGGCCACCTGCAACCGCTGCGGCCTCCAGGCAGCCGGCCAACGCCCCCCAGCCGCTCCCCGAGCCCACCATCTCGCCCCCCGCGGCACCTGCCATGGCCAGCAGCGGCCCGGCCCCACGCTCTGCAGCTGGCACCCTCCTGGAGCCCAGCAGACCCCCCGCCGCCCGCCCCCTGCCTGCCCCAGCGGCCTGTGGCCCCTTCACCTACAGCTCTGGTGCTCACCCAGCCTTCCCCTGGGCTCTGTCCCCGCTGCCTCTCTACCTGCCCAGGCCTCTGGCCCCTCGGCCTTCCCTCCTCGCTCTGCTCCCTGTCTGGGAGGGTGCTTGCCCTTGACTCTGGGCCCCCTGGGCAGCTGCCTCTGCTTCACCTGTTGCTTTACCTGTCCAAAGCTGCCAGGCCAGGTGTGTCCCTGGTGCCTCGTCCTGGGCTAGCGGGTGGGTCCGGGCCCAGGCTGTTTCCCTCTGCTGACAGCCTGACTCTGCTTTCTCTCTGCCTGGTCCGCCCTGCCCTGAACCCCCAGTCCAGGGGACCAGAGAGGACTTGGGGCAGGGCGGGTGACAGCAGCAAGCTTGCTGGCCAGCTCGGGGATGGGAGAGAGGGGCAGCGGTGGGGGAGTGGCCTAGGGGCTGGAAAGAACGATGTGGCAAGGGGGAGGGATCTCTTCACTCA